AGAGAAAGGGAACACTATCGAACATTGTCTTTTATACAGTTTTTGCTCCCTTAATGGGTACCCACAACTAGTTATTTACACAAATGTCTTTAAAATGTATTAATGTGTTTATTAGCACCTTGAATTAATGTTAACATTTCTAAAAGATTGTTTCTATTACTAGTTGTTGGAGAGTAAATAAAATATAAAAAATAGTCACTGGAGAATGTATTTAAACATTGTTAAAGGAATTAGCTAAAGAATGTTTTACCAATAATTAAAGTAAATGAGACTTCTCAGGAAAGTGGTGAAATTTTTTGATGTTCTTATAGTTCATCACTTTTTTTTTTTTAATAAGAAATTGTTTTTGATTAAAATTTGTATCTATAGCATTAATATTGTATGCAATATCCTGGATGTTATTTTAAATTATACTTTAAGTGTGTGTTTATGGTCACTTTGAACAAGTGACAAGTATACAAAGTTGTATTAACTTTTCATACTTCATTTTATGTGTGAACTGTTGTCCATTTGTATGTTAAAATAAGCATTTTCTTAGGCTGCTGACAAGTTGGGGGAAATGGAAAAGGTTCTCTTATTGATAGAGGAAGTGGGAGGTGTAGACAAAATAGAAGCTCTACAGCAACATGAAAATAATGATGTTTATACAGCTGCATTGGAATTCATTGAAAAATATTTTTCTGGAGAGGTATGGTAACTTTTGTTTTTATATGTAATGTCTTTGGTACATGTAGTGTGATGTGCCACATTGTTTTGTTTTTGTGACAAGTCAGGTCATACACCTGATAATTTTCTCAATTTTACTGTATTTTTAAGATATATAGCCAAAAATTATGACTGGCAATCAGCAAAATAGTTTTAAAAAAAGTGTTACTGACTATCAATCAGGTTGAAACTGATTTGTGTGTGTGTATGTTTGAAATGAACATTCTGATCAACAATACAAAATTAAATAAATTGAAAGGAAGTATTTTTAATGCTTTTTCAAAACAGTGTCTCTGTACAACATGTCATCAATTTTACGATCTAAAAAAAAATCCTACAGAAAGCACCCAGGAACTAGGTACTATTTATAATTTTTTGTTTTACTAAGATTCATGCAACTTGTTTTAAATATTTCCACTATGAGAAGGACAGAATCATCAGGCACCAACCCCCCTGACCAAAAAGAGTTAATGTTAATACATAATGGTTAGCACTGTTTTTTTCTCAATCTCTGTCTCTCTTTCTTTCTTTTTTTTGTGTGGTAAAAATTTATTTAATTGGGAAATTACTGTAATTTTGAGACTCGTCTGGTAACCTTTAAATTACTGACTTGTTTTTATCGTATTCACTACTGATGGGGTTCACATATTGTGTGATTGAATACTTTTATATTCTTACCTGTTAAAATATGATTTCTCATGTCAGTAGTTTAATGTATGCATTTTTACATTGTATTATCTAATTCTTTTGTAATTGTAAAATTCAGAGCAAGATAAAATTTTTAGATGTGTTTCTTTTCTTGAAAAAGTGGAATGTTCTTGGTTTTAGGACACAGATGATGCCCACCTTGTTCCTGAGATGAGTGCTGGAGGAGACTACCAATTTTCAACAACAGCTGCTGCACCAGAAGGAGGATTTTCTTTCTAAAGTTGTATCATAATGTATCAAACTCATTGAACAGTTTAAAAGAGCAGTATATATATATATAATGCAACTGAAAAAACTATTATTCAGTATTTCCTGTGTAACAACATCAAAATAATATTAAGGAAATAGTGTTTTAAAATTACTAAAATTGCAAACATTTTTCAAATTAAATATTTTTGATATTTCTTGGTAAGTGTTTCGGTTTTGTCATTGTTTTTAATACTTAGCTGTACCTTTCAGAGTACAACTTGAGTTGACAAGTTTGTAAAAATAAAGTTTCTCAGTATTTTTGACATACTTGGTTATGTGTTTTGTTACTCATCCTTTTGTATCACAACATTAAATAAATCCGTTATGAATACTTAAGTATTAGGAATAATACATTTGATATTCCTATTATAAAAATGGATATATTACAGATTTCATTTCACCAAAGGTAAAACTGAAAATATAATCTGTGAGGTAGAGGCTTAATACTTTTTATCATTCATCACATCATTATAAGAGACTTAAAAGTATTTCTTTAGTTTATTTATGGTGATCCAAACTCAGCTGATGAGACCTGAATAGGTTAAACTGCATTTTAAAGGATGCATTAGGCCTCTTTTATCACAAATTATATTTTAAATTTTACCTTTGGTGAAAAGAAAATATTTCTGTAAAATAATCATTAACCAGATGATCTGCTATATAATGTCAAATAATAAATTTGATGCACTATTATTCGAATATAGAAATTAACATAGGTTATTATATGGTGAGTTAAAAACCCATAAATATAGTTAGTTTTGAAAGAACTGTGCGCTATTTATCTTTACACGTCAAGATCTAATAATCCTATTGTGGTAAACGGTACAAAAATGTTTAAGCTAAAAAGTTTATTTATGCACACATCTTGCCAAAACCTTTCTACTTACTTCTGTACATGAGAAGCCATTCTCGGTTGCCTTGCCACCACACCCAAAATCCATTATCACACAAGTTTTTTTGTTTTTTTTTAGATAGAGCTGTTAATGTATCTTCATATGATGAAAGGTAATGTTAGAATTATTTAAAATATACAACAATTGATAAAGAGTATGAACCTAATGTGGTAGATATGTAATAAATTAGATTCCTGATGTACCAAATTACAGACACCCAAAAAGGGATATAAGAAATAATGTTTTGTCTCATCGTGATCAACAAAAATATATATACTCAACTCGTATGTTCTTCCGTATCCTAAAATATATATACTCAACAAGTATGTTCTTCGGTATTCTAAAATATATATATATATATATTCAACTCGTATGTTCTTCCGTGTCCTGAAATATATACTCAACTCGTATGTTCTTCCGTGTCCTAAAATATATATACTCAACAAGTATGTTCTTCGGTATCCTAAAATATATATACTCAACAAGTATGTTCTTCGGTATCCTAAAATATATATACTCAACAAGTATGTTCTTC